CGCTTTTTGTTATTCTCGATTATTTTATATCGTTGAAACATTTTTTGTAATTTTTTAAAAATGACTATTTTTTTCATAATACAAAACGATTAAGGCTCAACAAGCCTACTTAAAGACGGTGTAGTCATCCAAACATTCAACAACCAGATAAATCATATAGAAAGCGACCCCTATCAAACATTCAGAATCCAAATATGTTAATTAGGTATACGGAACGTGTAGGGTGGGCGGGTGGCGCACATTAAGAATCCCCGCACGCTAACATCCGAGGCCAACAGGAGTAATTAATGAAAGCTACACAAATTTGATTCATAATTGTTCCAAAATAAATTAAGTTGATATTATATCGAAGTATTTAAAATACTACAAAGCAACGTTAACTTAGTCCGTAATAAGACATTATGGCCAATGTATTCTTAATCATATTTCACTCGCATTATAACATGTCAATCACTTAAGCGGTCTGAAAACATGGAAATGGCACATTATCAAACGTTTATTTACATAGGTAGGTCATGCGGAGCTTATTTTCTCTTTTACAAGCTGTGGACAAGGCAGACCAGCTTCAAAAATAAAGGATTAGTTTTGTTGAAACCACAAAAATCTTAGTAAAATGCTTCGGAGACATGTCTTTAAAAGTAAAATCAAGGGCCCTGTAACCGTGATGACTGAATGAACTTTGTATAAAGTGTCCTTTTGCAACATTTAGTGTTTGTTTTCAAAAAGCCAGTCATGTTAAAAACATTATAGCACTTTTCACTGGCAATGTTTATATCCTGTCTGGGCCCACTTGTATAAAACATCTCAAAGTTAAGGAAAATATCAAGCAATGTATTGTCTATGGAAAATCTTAGACTTGAGGAAATCTCAAGAGTTGAGGTATTTTATACAATTGGACCCAATGCTCATATATAATATCACTGCATATTTTTAAATGTCATATCATGTAAACTTCACTTATCAATCTAGGTTACTAACCTTTCATTTTCAAATACACATTCTGCTACAACATGTTTAGTTTGGTTAAATTCTACTATGATATTAGCAGTTTCGCATGTGCATCCTCCTTGATGTGAGGTCGGTATGCCTCTCCACGGTTAAAAAGGAATAGGTATCCCCCATTTCATGTCAAAGCGTTCAGCTCGGTTGTCATAGAGACTGACATGTTGTAATGTAGGTGAACAATTCTTATTTGGACATCAGCCTTAGTATTTTACTGTTAGCTAAATTAATACCTGTTGGTATATTCATTGAGGGGTTTTATAGTATAACATGCGTGATAACTTTACCTATAAATCTGTGATATTTACATCTAGGGTTTCTATATTGTTATATGCGTGATAACTTTACCTATAAATCTGTGATATTTACATCTAGGGTTTTTATATTGTTACATGCGCGATAACTTTACCTATAAATCTGTGATATATACATCTAGGGTTTCTATATTGTTATATGCGTGATAACTTAACCTATAAATCTGTGATATTTACATCTAGGGTTTCTATATTGTTATATGCGTGATAACTTAACCTATAAATCTGTGATATTTACATCTAGGGTTTTTATATTGCTACATGCGCGATAACTTTACCTATAAATCTGTGATATATGCATCTAGGGTTTCTATATTGTTATATGCGTGATAACTTAACCTATAAATCTGTGATATTTACATCTAGGGTTTTTATATTGCTACATGCGCGATAACTTTACCTATAAATCTGTCATATATACATCTAGGGGTTCTATATTGTTATATGCGTGATAACTTTACCTATAAATATGTGATATTTATATCTAGGGTTTCTATATTGTTACATGCGTGATAACTATACCTATAAATCTGTTTTATTTACATCTAGGGTTTCTATATTGTTACATGCGTGATAACTATACCTATAAATCTGTTTTATTTACATCTAGGGTTTCTATATTGTTATATGCGTGATAACTTAACCTATAAATCTGTGATATTTACATCTAGGGTTTTTATATTGTTACATGCGCGATAACTTTACCTATAAATCTGTGATATATGCATCTAGGGTTTCTATATTGTTATATGCGTGATAACTTAACCTATAAATCTGTGATATTTACATCTAGGGTTTTCATATTGTTACATGCGCGATAACTTTACCTATAAATCTGTGATATATGCATCTAGGGTTTCTATATTGTTATATGCGTGATAACTTAACCTATAAATCTGTGATATTTACATCTAGGGTTTCTATATTGTTACATGTCTGATAACTTTAACTATAAATCTGTGATATTTACAAGTAGGGTTTCTATATTGTTACTTGCGTGATAACTTTACCTATAAATCTGTGATATTTACATCTAGGGTTTCTATATTGTTACATGTGTGATAACTTTAACTATAAATCTGTGATATTTACATCTAGGATTTCTATATTGTAACATGCGTGATAACTTTACCTATGAATCTGTGATATTTACATCTAGGGTTTCTATGTTGTTACATGCGTGCTAAAGTTACCTATAAATCTGTGATATTTACATCTAGGGTTTCTATATTGTTACATGCGTGATAATTTAACCTATACATCTGTGATATTTACATCTAGGATTTCTATATTGTAACATGCGTGATAACTTTACCTATTAATCTGTGATATTTACATCTAGGGGTTCTATATTGTTACATGCGTGATAACTTTACCTATAAATCTGTGATATTCACATCTAGGGTTTCTCTATTGCTACATGCGTGATAACTTTACCTATAAATCTGTGATATTTACATGTAGGGTTTCTATATTGCTACATGTGTGATAACTTTACCTATAAATCTGTGATATTTATATCTAGGGTTTCTCTATTGCTACATGCGTGATAACTTTACCTATAAATCTTTGATGTTTTCCGGTGTGGTATACACATGCAGGGTTTCTTTATTATCACACGTTTGACAAGTGTAGCAAACAAATGTGATATTCGATCGCAAAACACAACCCATGCTAGATGCAACTTCGAAATTGCAGGGTACGCTCAACCATGTTTAATACACGCTGGGAATATGTCATGCCGTAATCGGAGGCTCTGTATGTGCTATCATGTTGATGATACAAGTTGACTAGTTTGATCCTTTTATGTACATCAAAACAACTACGCGACGGTAAAATTGACAAGCTTTTAGGTCGGATGTCGCTCCTCTGTATTCTTCAAATGATAAGTATCAGTCTAGCGATTGACCAGGGTTGTTTTTACCTGAAACCAATCAAACAGGTTATCATCATCATCGATATCCAGGGGTTACGCTCACTTTCGCTCTCTTCACTCCTGGAATATGTCCAAAAAAATTGAAGGCTCAGTGTGCGCCACCTTGTTGATGAGATAAGGAGATTAGTTGGATCCTTCGATGTACATCAAAAGAATCTCGCGGTCACGTAACGGTAACAACTGAGAGGCTTTGATGTCGGGCGTCTCTCCTTTTTAATCTTCAAAGGACAGGTATCAGCCTGGTCAGATTCTTTTTACCTGGGACCAATCAAACAGCTTTCTTCTTGCCTTCAATTTTACTATGACATATTCAAGGGGTGTAGAGAGCGAAAGTGAGCGTAACACATGGAATTTCGAGGATGGGTTTGATGAGGTCTATTGTCATTCATAGTCAACCAAACCAAAACACGAAGACAGTACAAATATTTATCAAAAGTTAATAGATAGGTTCAGTAGATATTTGTACAATATTACAATCAATTGGAATTCACAGGAATATTGATGCCATCGGAATCAGAGGGAAAATGTTTTAATCCACTAAATGCAAACAGAAAGTTACAGAATGCTTTAGTAATTATATTCTATTATCAATTTATAATAAAAAGGGATACTTGACTTCACCGTTAAAGTTTTTTTCGGTTATTTCAAAGCTTCAGGTGAGTCTATATACAATTTATTAATCATCAATGCTGAAGTTGAGTCTATATACTATCTTTTAATCATCAATGCTGAAGTTGAGTCTATATACTATCTATTAATCATCAATGCTGAAGTTGAGTCTATATACTATCTATTAATTATCAATGCTGAAGTTGAGTCTATATACTATCTGTTAATCATCAATGCTGAAGTTGAGTCTATTTACTATCTATTAATCATCAATGCTGAAGTTGACTCTATATACTATCTATTAATCATCAATGCTGAAGTTGAGTCTATATACGATCTATTAATCATCAATGCTGAAGTTGAGTATATATACTATCTAATAATCATCAATGCTGAAGTTCGTTCACTGTTCGTCCGATGCATCTAGATTATATTGTATAACCATATGTATGCGGGATCCATGGCATTCAAGAGAGAGGTTTATCAAACATAAAATATATGAAAAAATAATTAATACAAACTCATTTAGGATTTCATGAAATCAACAAACGAGGACAAAAATTAGACCGGAATGTCGAAACGACATAATGTACGTTATGCTGTAAAAGATAACTTTTTTATCGTAGCGGAAATGTTTGTGTTTACCGCATTGAATAAACTAGCGCAAAAGTATCCTCACGAGAATATTTATCTTTAGATTACAAGCATCTAGACCGCTGTTAAGTAGCTGATATATATGTATTTCAGAACTATAACCAGCGCGAAAATTTCGAAAACAGCGATCAATGAAAAGTTTTACAACGCGAACATTTCTACACTTGTGTACTCTGTGTAATGACCTTCATTTGTGTGAGTGAGCTGTAGTGTGGTTGTCTGTCGTTCATCTCTCACGATAGCAAGCTACCACATTTGTCGACCTATGATCCGCATCGGTTTTTTTAAAGGCTGCCAGTCTGTTATAACTAACACTGTTTAAAAAAATATATAATCAGGTTGTTCATCAACTGTATGCAATTAAGAATGATATCTGTAATTATGGATTATTAAGACAAAATGAATATTCCGCATACGAACTAATGTCAGATTAATATGACAAACTGTAAATTCTTCTTATTTTTCCATTTTTTACAGGTATCAACATGCGTTTAATCCTTGTCGCCATCGTTTGCACGTGTCTAATCGTGTCGACGTACGGAAGACCGAGTAGAGAAAGACGCCAGGCGGAGGAAAAAACAGAGACAGTGACAGAGGCAGCGACAGTGGAAAAGGAAGAGACGGAACAAAAACCAGACAAAGAGAAACAAACTGATAAAGTCGAAGCAGCACCGGCAGCATGGCCAGAGACAGAGGCAACACAAGATGGAGCAGTAGATAAAGGAAAGATAAAGGAAGAAGCAGAGGACGAGGCAGAGAAACAGTCTGAGGCAGAGACAGCACCAAAGCCGGAGCCAGAACCAAATACAGAGAATGGAGCAGCATCACCGGCAGCTGAAACGGAAAACAGCAAAACAGGATCAGAGTCAGCAGTACGGCCACAGCCAACAGCAGAAGCAGTAAAAGAAGCAGCAGATGCAACACAGGAGATAGAGGGTGAGAAAGCAAAGATAGAGGAAGAGGCAGAGAAAGAGGCAAAGGAAGAGGCAGAGGAACAGGCAGGGGGGGAGAGAGCAGAGGCATTTCAAGATGCAACAGAGACTGAGGAAGAGGCTACAGAGGAATTAAAAGATGCGGCAGAAACGGAGGAACAGACAGTGGAAGAGGCAGAGAAAGATGCAGCAAAGGCAGATAAAAAAGCAGAGAAAGATGCAGCAAAAGCAGAAGCAAAAGAAGAGAAAGATGGAGCAAAGGCAGAAGCAAAAGCAGAGAAAGATGGAGCAAAGGCAGAAGCAAAAGAAGAGAAAGATGGAGCAAAGGCAGAAGCAAAAGCAGAGAAAGATGGAGCAAAGGCAGAAGCAAAAGAAGAGAAAGATGGAGCAAAGGCAGAAGCAAAAGCAGAGAAAGATGGAGCAAAGGCAGAAGCAAAAGAAGAGAAAGATGGAGCAAAGGCAGAAGCAAAAGCAGAGAAAGATGGAGCAAAGGCAGAAGCAAAAGAAGAGAAAGATGGAGCAAAGGCAGAAGCAAAAGCAGAGAAAGATGGAGCAAAGGCAGAAGCAAAAGAAGAGAAAGATGGAGCAAAGGCAGAAGCAAAAGCAGAGAAAGATGCAACAAAGGCAGAAGCAAAAGCAGAGAAAGATGGAGCAAAGGCAGAAAGGAAAAACAACAGAAAAGGATAAGCTGAATAACCCTTATATGATGTTTACGTCAACATTCACCGAATTTATTTTTATGAATTAGACTGTTTTACTATCTATAGCCCGTAGATATAATTATAGTGTTGATACTTATCATTGCAGGATTTCAAAATAGCACTCTAATCAGTAAAAAAAACTGGCTCTATTATATGTATTACATTCAGATAACGTACTTAGTATACTGTTAATAAGATGTTCAGTAGGCAGTACGTTTCAGTATGTTACTGTTATTTAATTTCAACAAATGTTTGCTGTTTTAAAATGGACTTACGTATCAGTCTCTTAATCAGAACATTTTTCTTTCTTTCCAGCATTAATTTAAAGGAAACATACAAAACTAATGTTTCATGTAAACTTTGCTCAAAAACTATCCAGTTAATGGTACACCAAACTCGGTGACATAGCTCAGCAAAGCGTTTGACTTAAAAAAAATGACTGAAATTACGAAATAAAAGAAAACCTATATGAAAATGTATTAAGCCGATTTGGAAAATTTGTTCATAATTATTTTTCATTTTTTTTAATTTTATTTTTTATTTATTTTTATTGAAATTTGTTCATAATTTATGAATAACTGTATAATAAGATAAGACATATAATAGATTTTTTTAAGTCCTATATGTATTTGTATGTGTATACTACAGCAGACGTTTGATTCATAGTTGATGTTGCAAAATGACATGATTAGTTATTATTGTCACAATCAGTCAAAATTCAATTTAATTGTTCAAATTATGGAAAGAATGAAAAAAGGTTTTAAGTTTCAATGATGTCCCTTACAAGTATTCCTATAGTGTTTGACATGTGTTACTGGTTGGTTCTAATACCAATAAAGTTTGCTTTAGAATTGTGAATGTGAATTTTGTTTTCAAATTACAAAACCAACTCAAAGAATAGTAAGCTACAAGTAAGGTTTTATCTGAGATACCAGTGTTGGGATTGAAAAATATTTTTTAACACCATCTGTGTTCTTTATTGTGCGCCTTTTTACGGACAAAATACTACTTTTTAAGAGAGTGTGTACAGGTCACCGAGACAACATACCATGCTGTAACAACGGCAAAACTATATCGAAATACCGGTTAGGTCACGAAAACGATTTGTATCTTTGTTATAACGAGGAAGCTTCATCATTGTTAGTGTTGTCCCTATACTCTTCCGTATATTTTATGCAAGGAAAACAAATATGCATTCGCCACTTTGAGGGTAAGAGGAGAAGCATTATTCACCTCATATCACATTCGGGGCGAGATGGAAAAAATATTGCCACTTTAAAGGCTACGCATGCAAGTTTATGTTGCTCTTTGGCGTTATATAACACCAAAATATTCTTTTTAGATAAATGTTTATTTCCATGATTCTTAATATCTTACATTTGTTTCACGACTGGATTGCAATGTCTGATATTCATAAATATGCACTAACCGGCTATTTACACTAGAACTGACGTACGTAGTAAGTCACGTGACGTTTTGACGTTAACACTGTATTTGGTAAATCTTGTCAGTGCTCCCAATGAAATGAACATGAAATACATTAAAGGGGGATAGTAAATGCAATATAGATACCTTTAAATACATTAGAGATATCTTTAAATGATATCGAAACATCTTGAACTGTCATACATATATATCAAAGAATCAAAATTTCTTTGAATGGCAGAAATGTTAGAGATATATCACCCACACTTCATACGTCCATTCCCTATTTGCTTGGGAAATAATAAGCCTGTCTTTACCTACCTAGGGAAAGACAACGCAAGTGCGACAAGCGCAATTATGCTGAAAACGTGACCATTGAGTCGTTGCTGCATGCAGCGTTATCAGCATACCATCATCAATTCTGTTACATATTTCAGGCGCCGTTGATAATGGCGCGATGCACTGGGTTTGCCTTTATAACATATCTTTTACGGTAGGAAAATGTGGGGAAATAACCAACCATTTATCTGTGATATTATTGACAGAGAAGTCGCAACACCCGGGATAAGATTTTTGAAGTTTAGCACTCGGCAAAGCATCGTGTTAAACTTCAATATCTCATCATTTTGTACGTCACACAGAAATGATAGGTTCTTTGGTGCTTTAATATTAATTATATACATATATCCTATATGCATTTGTCATTGTAATTGAGTTAAATACATCTTTTAATGAATAGGATTTATTAGTTAATATAATCATTTATTTCAGATTATGAGATAACCCCTACAGTATATAAGAACAAAACATAACATGTAGGAACAGAAAGGCTGTTACAAATAACAGTACAACAAAATATCAGTGATAAAATTGAACCTAAACCTTTCACTGGATTTAATGTAACATTGCACATTGAAAACAAATGTTTTGTTGGATTCTACCGACAGATTTTCATTTTCTATGAGTAGTAAACATGTGCCAATAACAACATCCAAAGTAAACAGATGACATTTCAATTTTATAACGAGGACAGAAAAACATACACATTCTTCGACAGATTTGCTACAACTTCATTCAACATTCGAATCCCGATCTAGCCCCACTGATTTTTTTAAAACTCAGATCAATGTTGTTGATTAATTTTTTTTATTTCATCTTTATTATTTTTCAAAAAGGTTCCTCAAAGTATGGTACTCTTTTCAGAAATGATTTATCAAAGCTATAGTCATGACGTGATACTTTTCCAATACTTCTTTTTGGCAGTGGTGTAGTGATTCTTAAAGTAATCAGGTTTGTTACAACCGGGCCCTGGTCATGACGACAGTCCTGCATCATGTCATCGGTGTCTACAGAGAGGTGTGTTACAACCCGGCCCTGGTCATGACGACAGTCCTGCATCATGTCCTCGGCGTCTACAAAGAGGTGTGTTACAACCGGGCCCTGGTCATGGCGACAGTCCTGCATCATGTCCTCGGCGTCTACAGAGAGGTGTGGTACAACCGGGCCCTGGTCATGACGACAGTCCTGCATCACGTCATCGGTGTCTACAGAGAGGTGTGTTACAACCGGGCCCTGTTCATGACGACAGTCCTGCATCATGTCCTCGGCGTCTACAAAGAGGTGTGTTACAACCGGGCCCTGGTCATGGCGACAGTCCTGCATCATGTCCTCGGCGTCTACAAAGAGGTGTGTTACAACCGGGCCCTGGTCATGGCGACAGTCCTGCATCATGTCCTCGGCGTCTACAAAGAGGTGTGTTACAACCGGGCCCTGGTCATGGCGACAGTCCTGCATCATGTCCTCGGCGTCTACAGAGAAGTGTGTTACAACCTAGCCCTGGTCACGACGACAGTCTTGCATCATGTCCTCGGCGTCTACAGAGAAGTGTGTTACAACCTGGCCCTGGTCACGACGACAGTCTTGCATCATGTCCTCGGCGTCTACAGAGTAACTACGATCTCTATAGAAAACCATGGCCTCGTTAGATTTAAACAGCACTATGAGTTGGCCTCGTTAGATTTAAACAACACTATGACTTGGCCTCGTTAGATTTAAACAACACTATGACCTGGCCTCGTTAGTTAGATTTAAACAACATTATGACTTGGCCTCGTTAGATTTAAACAACACTATGAGTTGGCCTCGTTAGATTTAAACAACACTATGACTTGTCCTCGTTAGATTTAAACAACACTATGAGTTGGCCTCGTTAGATTAAAACAACACTATGACTTGGCCTCGTTAGATTTAAACAACACTATGACTTGGCCTCGTAAGATTTAAACAACACTTTGACTTGGCCTCGTTAGATTTAAACAACACTATGACTTGGCCTCGTTAGATTTAAACAACACTATGAGCGGAGTAAAGTATCTTGCTCAAAGATACAACACAGTGCCGCGCCGTGACTCGAACCCGCAACCCTTCGGTCACGATCCCGGCGTCCTACCACTAGACTACCGTGCCTACAGATGCAATCACATATGTGCGTCTGTGTTTGTTCATCTTTATATTGTCTCCAGTAGTAGCATTTTCAACACATTAACACACTGTGTAAAGTAATTACCCAAAACCATGAATTTATTATTTTAAATGTAGTCTTTTCTGACAAGTTGTTAATGCATAGAATACATCGGGGTAGTATTCATGGACAATCAGTTTGTAAATATGATTATGAACTAGTTAGGTAAATATTTAAGAATTATAACATTATGCCCACATACTTGTGAATCGTTCAATATCATACTCTGTCCCAGTAAAGCCGAGGTCTTGGGAAAACTGTATCAGCTTTTATCTCGCACACTCTATACTTGTTTTGTTGAGTGCAACCAAATGACAAAAAGGTCTGAGGAATTCTTCATCCCAACACTGCACGTCTACTATCGCGGATTTCATAACCAGGAGTATGTCTTTTGCTTCAGCCAAACCATTCAGCTCTAAATTAACGCCTTCTTTCAGAAACTGTTTTCCTTGAAACCTATTGAAAAGAAAGACTCCAACAGCAAAGCATATGATGGTGAGGTCTGGAACACAAGGCTTGATTCCACAACCTATGGCGGCTGTGGTCTCCCATAAGTTGACGCCATGTGTTGTCTCGTAGACGATACACCTACGAAAACTGCCTACTCTTCCATTGATTTCCATGAGTTTTGGACCGGTTTCTGTCATCTTGAACTCCGTGTTAAAACTCCATTTAGTAAACCCAGTTTACAGCAGCGGTGATGCGCGGCTGCCGTCAGTTGGTGTCTAAGTTCTGTTGATAAACTTGACGGTATACATATGATAGTGCGGACAAACCTGTTGGGAAGCTAGAGACCAATGTCAGCCGTAAACCACGCCAAGAGCTCGCCATCGGAAATCACCACGTCAACTTCATAGGAGAGACCGTCGAGAAGTTCCATAAGGACCATTGACTTTCCAAACTTTTCTCCAACGCGAGATGTTTTAAATGTTTCTGTATCCGAATGTACTGCAGCAGGCAATCACCTTCACCCCCCTCCCCCCTCCAC